GGAACGGGCCCAGCAGGTTCTTTCCTAACCCATCTCTAACCAAGTGCTTCACAGAAACAGGTCAGGCACAAAAATCAGTGAGAGGTGAAGTCACCTTGTTCAGTCTTTGAATTTGACTTGAGAAGCCACCAAAGTGTAAAAAGCAACAGTCACTAACGAGGCCCTAATTCTGCCATCACCAAACTCCTAAAATTTCCATGAACTAAGAGCCAGGCTTTAAGAGGAGGGAGAGGAGAGGGGTGGGGGGTGTGTGTGTGTGTGTGTGTGTCTTGGCATGTGTAAGATTGCATGTAGTGTCACAAATGTAAAACACACTCCAAGTATTAACAATACTAACAGAAGTCTTATTAATCCAAATCCCTTTAATATTTTGCTACAAATTAAATTAGTCCTTTTCTGTTCTGAGAGGATCAGACTCTCTCCCTTTGGTTCTACTAGATCTGGTGGGTGTTGTTCCAGTGTCGAGGGCCAAGCACACAGAGTGACACAGGTGCTGGGGTTGTTCTTATTTGTTTATAGGAGAGAAAAAAAAAACAAGGGTTATGCATAGAAATGTTTGTAGTGTCAAGGCCTCAGACTAAATTCTTTGGAACAGGAACTGTCCTCTGCCTTATCCTTGTACAGGAGCCAGACATGGTCATCCCACTTGGCAGCTTTTGTCAGACCCTACCAAGATTAGTACGATGTTTGCTCCCATTCTCCTGGTCTTGCTCATAAACAAAGGCTGGACAGACATTTTTCCAATCTGTCATTTTACACGTATCTAAAATATTTACAGAAGAAAAGGTTCTCGGTCCTGAGAACAGAAATTAAATTGCTTTCAAACAAAACCCCTCCCAATTCCATATTAACAAGTGTGAGAATATGTCCTGAACCCCAGCCCTGGCCTATGAGTTCAGCCTGACACATCTGTAAATGATTCTTCAACAGCAGGATCAGACCCAAAGGATCAGACTTGGAAGGGACCGCAGCATCCGCAGCCTGCAAACACTGAAACCGAGCCTCTCTCAGGGCACTGGATAGAGCAGTGCTCAAGCAACAGGAAGCACGCGAAGGCAGCTTGGAAAGGACTCAGGAAAAACCAACGTTCATTCTGAAGACAAGAGTTCCAGGTCTGGAAGGAGTTGATGCAAAAAAAATGTCAAGGATGAAGAAGCCTTCAGGTGCTCCCGTAGGTTCCCTGGGCTGGGAACGCAGGTGGCACCTTTCAAAGCAAAAGTACATGGAAATGGTTGTGCAGCCCTGGTGTCTTAGGTGCAAAAATCAAGAAGATGAAACTTGTACAGAGCTGCTCTGCACTTAATCCAATCTCCCTCCAGAGCTACTGCACTCTCAGCACCATCACCACTCCAACTCACATCAGCATTTTTGAAGGAAAGGAGGTTGGGGGTTGGGGATAAAAAACAATAAAAAGCACAGTTACTATTTGACTTATTTGACTCACTTGCAACCTGCTGATAGAGAACCACGGAAGAGTGATCACAAGACACAGAGAAGAGACCTGAACAGATTCTTTTGGTACAAGAACGATGCAGTGGGTGAGGGTCCCTGGAGCACAGAGCCGAGACTGGCTTTGCAGGGTACACTACTGAGGCACACAGCTAGGGGTGATGGAGAGATGGGGTGGAGTTGGGACACATCACCAGTGCGTTCCCTTTATAGAGCTGGCCTGACAAGACAGGCTCAAAGCCTCCTCCTCAGGAGGAATGTACACAGAAATGTCACACACCCCCTCCACTCCCAATTCCCCCCAGGAAGTTTCAGAAGTGCCATAATCCACAAAGGACACAAAGTGAATCTCATCCTGAGAAATCCCTCTGTTGTTCTTGGAAAAAAAAAACCCCAACAAACCCTTTGCTGCAAACCGAGGGCTTACCTGAGGGGACAGGGAAGGTCATAAATAGCTTGAGCTTTTCCCAAAATACATTTGAGGAAAGGCAAAGAATTACCTCAAGGGTCAGGAAAAACAGTCATTTTTAAACACTGTAAACATGCAGGGTGGCAAAGCTGCCTGCCCCAGTTGCCCCAGCTCTATCTCTTTCAAGAGGTTGCCTTGGCTTCAAAGCTGAAAGTCTTCTTGTCCTGGGAACAGCTCTGTTTTCCCACCCCATCATCCTTAGCTAGCAGCTCCGTCACAAACAACCGCCGGCTCTCTCCCTTTGGCCATGAAGCTCATCGTCCAGTGATCTGCGCTGGCATAACCTTTGGAAGATGGAATGGAGAGGCCACGGGAGATGATTCCAGGCTTAATGGCTGCTCCACTTCATTTCCCATGAAGTGATGGAGGTGGGCAGAAGCTCTTTGCAAAGACACCTCCCTCAATGACACCCAGCAGAGCATTGTGCCTTGTGCTGCCCACACTGCTCAGTTTTTACACCGAGTGTCTCATGGTAGCTCCGTTGTTTGTGTGCCAGGCTACAAACTCCCAGTCCAGAATGATCACTCCACTGTACTGGGACAAACAGACACACACCAGTTTGGAGGTGGTAATGGCACACACGACCTTCTCAGGGTGTCAGACAGAAAAGATTCAGCTGGAAGCAGTCTCCTGACTCCAAGAGAACTCCCAGACCCTGTGTGCTACAGCATCAGTACTCACCCAGATCTCCAGCTTCCAGCTCCACCTTGAACATCTCACAGTGTCCTCTGCACTTGTCCAGAGGTACAACAGTCAGGGTGATCTGTCCACTTCCAACAGCAAAGAGGCTGTGCAAACTGTAGCTCTAGGATGAGAAGAGAGTATTTCAAAAGCCTTGCTAGCTTTTCTTGAGTCTGTCTGATCAACCAAGGGGCAAGTCACTGCCCTGCAGCAAGGTGAGACAGAGCAAACCACAGGTTTGCTGCTCCCCAGTTACCAGTAAATCGTAACTGAGGTCAGCTGCATGCAAAGGTCCTTCTCTCCTCCTCTGTCCAAGGCAGCGCAGGCCCTCCACACCCACAAAGCCAGCAAGAAAGTGGAGGAGAAGCCTGAAGCATCACTATCTTCAGGGAAACATCTCCATGGGAGATATCTCAGAATGGGTGAGACCTACTGCCAAGAACAGCTCTTAAAATGCAACTCTGGAATGAATTCTGCCCAACTGCAGATAAAAAGACCATCCCCTCACCCAGCTACAGAGCAAGGCTGGGATAGAAACGTGAATGGAGCTGGGACATCCCACAGGCATCTCTGACTGCCCCAAGGGAGATGGATGCTGTGTACCACCTACACAAAACCAAAACACAACTTCTGGGTGGTACAGAAACCTCGAGATGCCACACCACACAGGGAGAGACAGAACTGACACAACACTAAACCCTTCTGTCGGGATTGTATCAGCTGAAAATGTCCTGAAAATCCCCCAAAGACCTGAGGGACTGGAGGTCAACTCACAGACAGGGCAATAATGTCTCTGGAATGAATTTCTCACCTTATTCCCCAAATCTGGATGGCGGATGAGGAAGCAGCTCTCCAGGGCCACTGTCTTGGGGAAGGACAGCAAAGAGGAAGCAGGGAAAAATTCCTGCAGAATCCGAGTTTTATTCACAGATTTGCTCCTAAACAAAACAAAACAACCCATAATAAAGAAATATGACATGACGGTAACACTTGTATTTAAAAGGCTACTTTCCAAGAGAAAAATTCTTCACAAATATTGATAAATAGCATGACAGACTAGCCCTTGGGGGCAAAATTCAACCTCTCAGCTTCTAAACCTGTGCTCCTTCATATGTTCCTCTTAGTACCTGCGGCAGGAAGATGTAAACAGGGAACAAACAGATCATGATGGATGCCTAAGCTTAATTTCTCTTCCCTTAAAACGATCTGAGTCATTGATCAGATGCATTCATTATAACAGATGCAGAGAGGTGGCATTGTACACAACCATAACTGAAACCACATGGCAAGGCGGGGGGAATCCAAGTCTGTTCTCTAGGCCAGGGATTGTAACTGGAAAAGGCCGGGTGGGGTTGTTATTTTTACATCTCTGTCTAGTGGTTTCACATGATTAATACTTCTGTATCCTGACCAACCATCTACCAGTGCTCTGGTCAAGAAGTGCAGCAAGAAGATCCCATCCAAGCACTGGCCAAAGCACAGACTCCACCATGTGCTGCTCAAACTCTGCTTGGACACTGCTCTTCTGCTCATCCCAAGGTGCCAGGGAGCCTGCTCCACACCAGGTGGCACCTTCCCACCTTACTTCTCACCCTTCTCCACTTGAAAAGACTTGGCTACCACACAAGGTTGCTCTGCAACCTTAGAGAGCTCTGAATTGTTCAAATGTCTTGGAGCCACACTAAAGGCTTTAGCGCAGTTAGTAGAGGGCCAGGGTTAGGGTAGGTCATTTTTCTTGGATGAGACCAAACATGAATTGCAGGATGCCCTAGCTTTACCCTGGCTTTCTATTAATTCTCAGTCACCTCTTCTCAGTCAACACTAATGGTGGAGGATTTCCACTCAGCAGATTGCCACTCAGAGGTCACTAAGGAACGTAAACCAGTTGCCTCAGGTGATTAGATCACAGCCCAGATGACGAATGTGTGGCCCAAAGAACAGGACCGAGCAGCCACTGGGATATTTTTGGAAGAGGAGCAATATGTGAAGTCCCAGCCACACCACTCCATTTTTACTGCAGAAGTCTTCTCCTTGGATCCAGCAGGCAGATAGAAGACTCTAACCCATTCCTGTTGCCCTCCCCTCCAGTTAAAGTATTTTACTGCAGAAGTCTTCTCCTTGGATCCAGTCAGTGCCAGCAGGCAGACAGAAGACTCTAACTCATTCCTGTTGCCCTCCCCTCCAGTTAATGCAACTTGCAAGCTCCTGGTAGTTCACATAGGCAAAGACCCCTGCAGAAAGGATGGAAAGATCTATCACATGTTTTGTCTTTGACTCACCAGGGAAAGAAAAATGGGCAGCTCCATAATTCAGCTGAATTTTCCTCTATTATAACCTCTGCCAGTTCTGGATCCTGGGACTGAAAATGCTTCAGTTCTTCATAGGAGAGATGCTGCCCTGTCTTAAACGACACAAAACAAAGGTAAAAGCTGTGCACCTGAGGTTCTTCCCCTCTCCTATTTCCATCCCACCAAAGAACACCCAAGAATGACAGTCATCTAGACTGCCAAGTTTCCAACCACAATAATTAGTCAGAGGAACAAACTGCTAAGGATGCAGTGAGCCCCTCAGCCCCTGACACCTTTAAACTGGGGCTAAATGTCTTCTTAGATATATGTTCTACCTCAACCAGCAGTTTGAGTTTTTGGTTGAAAATACTGGGCAGAAGTTTTTGGCTGGTGCTATTCAAGAGTTTGGAGTAATCATCCAGCCTTACAAATCCGTGCATTACCTTGATTAGAAAAGGCTGAGACCTCTGGAGCTTTTCTGATAGTTCAAAGTCTGTCACTATCTGAAGGCTTTTCACAGCAGAACAGACTGTGCAGTTTGCTGGAAGCGTAGAAGTGTTTTGTCTGCAACCTGCTGCCCACCAGTCCTGGCATTCTTAGGAGGAAACAAGAGAAATACATTTAATAAGAGCAAAAATGAAATGTAAAGGAGACAGAATTGATGATAAATTCCTTATCCCTAACAGGAAACACTCAGATTTCTTATAGTTTCCAACAGCTGTAAATTACTCAAAGAGGAAGCTCCACCAGGGCAGGGAACTCGTCGCAGAACATTTCCAGCACAGGCTGAAGATTTTGGAGATATGGCTCAGAGTTGTGAAAAATGGGAGAGCTTTATGGAAATTCCACTTCTCTGTTTCTATGAGGCATAAAGCAAAGTTGCCTTTTCATTAGCAATAGAAATATGGTGGTTGCCATCCATAGTGCAATTAAACTGAAACAAGTCCACAGGCAAAAGAACAATCTCAGCATGTTATCAAGGAGACACTCAGAAGACAAAATAAAAATAATAATAATAAAAAAGATTCAGATTGAAAAAAATAACTCTAGTGTCATTAGCACTGGTACCATGAACCCTGTTAAAACATTTCTGAAATCAACACCCTCCCCTTTTCCTCTGTGTCAACCAAGAAAGACTGTCCCAGGCAAAATGTGCCCAGTCTCTGACGTGCAGATGCTGGGGAATGTGGGATTTCACCAAGATACGCTGTTGCTGATGAATGAGAATTCATCCCATGCACTGACTTGAAGATGAAATGGAGAAAAAAGACCCAGCATGTTTTTATTTTAAATTCCATTTTAAATTCCAGAAATCATTGTTACACCACAATTGGCTGAACTGGCCTACATGCTACATACATTTATATCTTCAAAAAGTCAATTTTTAAGGGAAACCCTTACTTGATGCCTGTATCCTGCCTCCCTTCTCCAGCTTACAGCCCTCCCAGCACAAAAAAGTAAGTAAACATTAACAGAAGAGACCTGTTGCAGGAGTGAACAAGCAGAACAGGAGCTGATAACACTGAACACCCCATATATTTCTATGCTAAAGGATCTGCAGGAGCAGCCACCACAATAAAAGGACGTGGTTCTAATTTCACGGTAGGAACAGCCCTGGTTCTGTAGCCTTAATCTGACAGGGACATGTTTAATTCAGGCAGTGGCAGCAAACCCACTCAAAAACCTGATCTGTCAGGGTGGGTTAGGAAAAACCCAAGACTCAGGACACACCTTACATGAAATTGGTCCAGGGATCTGTCCTCACGACAGGCCCACGCACATGTCAAAACAGCTCACGTCTCCTGGACGTTGCTGCAGGTCACCCACTCGGGAAACAGAGTGGATGGGCAAGGGGAGAAAGGCAGAGACAGTGAAACCTGTCTGAAAAATACAGCTGGGAAACAAGGATGTACAGCAGCTTCTCAGAGGGGAAAAAAAACCCTGCACTCAGCCTGCCTGTGACTGCCATCGTGGTTTCCAGCTACACTCACGCTCCTGCATGTGGGTTATAATTGATGAACAGCACTTAATCAGAAAGCTCTTGTTTCATTTTTCCCCTCCGACATCTGCAACAGACAGTGAGGAATGTTATAGAGGATTTAGGTTCATTGGGACATAACAACAAGGAACAGATTGGGATTAATTTTGCTTCTTTTTTTTCCCCCCCTGTCTAAATATCTCCAGTCAACTCCCAAATGCTGCACTTCCCACCCTACTGCTGGGATATGAACTGCAAGGGATGAGGATGTAATTCCGAGTCTTTCTGGAAGATGTGTCTACACTGCTTTCAGGGAAAGGGGTAAAAAAAAAAAGGCAAAACAAAGTGTAAAACCCTTATTGCAAGCAGAAGTCCCACTCCCATGAGAAACTGCTCCAATGTACTTTCCCTCACAAGAGAAAAAAAGCAAATCTTTGTTCCACTGCCTGTAGAAAGCTTCAATTTTACAACAACAACAAAAAAACCTCAACTCACAAAAAACAGCTGGTCAGTGACAGGAAACAAAAGGCTGAAAGATTTCACCAGAGGAAGGGCAGTCGCCATGAAGAGAATAAGAAAATGTATCTTATGGTCTCTCATCACACAGGGAACAGCAATACTGTAATTTATCTCTGGGCAAAACTTAGAAACCTCATCCCAGGGCGTTAAGCACAGTTGTCCCCAAATTTTCTCTCTGGGCTCAGGGCAGTCCCCCACATAACAGGATGCTAATCAGCTTGACAGTATTGAGCTCGATTCTTCTTTTGAGCTAGGCTGGGATATTTGCATTCTCAATTGCTCGATTCAGGAGGTTTATTTCTTTTTCCCATGAATAACCCAAGCAGAACACGGCTGAGACGCATTTCAAATGCCGCAAGAAGGGTTGTGGGATTTTTTTTTTTTTTTTTTTTTTCTTTTTTTTTTTTTTGGTAATTAATCTTTTAGATTTATTGTTGAGGGTGTTAGTCTGTGCACCAGCACGTGTGTGACTGGCATGACAAGTATGGGCAGCGAGAAGTGTCTGCCCTTCCCAGAGAGGGAGAGAGAAGAGACAGCGTCCGGAGGAGCGGGCACGTAACGACACACCGGGGACTGGAGCAGGAGTTTTACCGAGGATGCTGATTCTCTCTCGATTACCCTCCCTGCATTCCTTTCACATTATCACCCTCCCCAGACACCCTGGGGGATTATTTTGGTTGAAGTCGAGTGCTCTGGTCTGTGCACACGCATGGTCTGCTCAGGAGATGGAAAAGCAAAGACGCGCTCTGCGTCCCAGCGCAGCCGTCACACGATGGTCCCATCCAGTCGCCTTCAAACCTTACAAGTGCCGGGCGTGTGCGATTGTCCCTGTGGAGTCTGAGTGCAGAAAGCAGCTGTACAACCATCCACTACACCACAGAAGCAGGGACAAATCCCAACTAACCTTTCACAGAATCACAGGATGTTGGGGATTGGAAGGGACCTCAAAAGATCATCCAGTCCAACCCCCCTGCCAGAGCAGGAACCTCAATGAGATCACACAGGAAGGCGTCCAGGCGGGTTTTGAATGTCTCCAGAGAAGGAGACTCCACACCCTCCCTGGGCAGCCTGTCCCAGGGCTCTGGCACCCTCACTGTAAAGAAGTTTCCTCCACGCTTGTGCTTTCTCACCCCCTCTTTCAGGAGCAGCCCTCAGTTTGTTAAGCAGATCTTCATTTCCCCATCAATCATATCCACCTAATATCTGCTTTTACACTTTGTTAACTCTCCAGAACAAGAGCTGTCTCCTCCCTTGTGTCAGGATAACTCCTCGCAGAGCCAGGGCTGGGGACTTGCAGCTGCTAACACAGCACAGACGAAAAGATAACAATTTTCCTTAAAACACATCTATGATTAATGCTAGAAGGAGTTTATGACTGTACTTTCCACTATGTAGAAAAATAATTTTCAACTTACAAGCAATTTAAAATGAGTACTCCGCCCTTCTTGGCCATTTTCACAGAGGATCTCCCAAGTTTTATGGCAGTCCCCAGAACTACAGAGGGGTGTGTGCTCACAATCCCAGAGATGCTGGGTGTGGACAGTCAGATTGGAAGCTAAGAGGTTACTGAGAAGACCTGGCTCTGCTTCTGCCCATTGCATTGAAACAATAAAACTTATGGAAACTTGCCCACATAGATCTGAGAACAAGATCTCAGCAACAGCCCTGGTCTTTTTAGGAACCATATGGAGAGCGAAATATCAGTCTGCCACTGCAGCAGGTTCAAAGAGAAACCCTGCAGCAGGGAAACCTCTTGCTCCAGCAAGAGACACAGAGCCAAGGGCTGCTCCTGACCCTAATGAAGTGTTGAAAACATAAAACCTCCTGCATGTAGAACTGCAGGTGCTGAGGCAACTTGCTGGCTCCCCACCAAGCTGGTTTTCTCCTCAGCACTAAGGACTGCAAGGCTGAAGAAGTTTCCAGCAGGCAAGTGACAGGTAGGTCTGCACAGGAAAGTCTGGTCCAGGAGAAGGGGGATCCCCCCAGGACTTCACAGTCCCCTCAGGTCTCCTGTCTTTATGATTTGTTGCTACCATCACCCACAATAATTAGAAGCAAGATTCTCCAGGGGGCTGTCTAATGCACCAAGCAGCTCCACGATCTGCAAAGGTTGGTTCCAAGTCCCCAGTTCCTCTTTTCTGAGGAGCTATTCCCCAGTCCCACCACAGACCCCACTAGAGATCAGTGCTAGGAGCATTCAAGCAACTTCAGCAAGCCTAGGGTGAACTTGGGGCTCTCAAGGAAGACTGGCCTGTGCACTGAATATTCACAAAACACTTCTCTGTGCTTTCTCGTAGGTCTGTCGTACAAGCCTGGCTGCAAATGCTCATTAACACCCACAACACTTGTGGACTGTCCCTCACAGGGTCCAACATACCATCAAGAACTACAAAAATACTTGTAAGTGAGCAGGTAAAGCTCAGGGCTCTCACAAAGCATGACCTACTCTACATTGGCCACTTCAAAGGTAAGCTCAGGATGGAGGTGGACTTGACCTAACGACAGCCACAACCTTGTTCCCAAGTGCTGGATCCAACAATAAGAAGATGTTGATTTCTGCTTCTACAACATCTCCCCACAGCTGCACATTTATAAAAGTCGGGGAATTTTTCAAGGTGGAGCTGAAGAGACTCCTTCAAAGGAAGGGATTAAGACCTCAGCCTACCATCTGCTGTCTGTGACCATACTTTCCCCTCAGCCAAAGGGACCCTTTAGGGACACGTATCTAACAGCCTGTGGGATACCGACCTCCTCCACTCATTTTCCTCACAAAAGCTCAACCACAAGCTGATTCTTATGGCTCACACAGGGCAGAGCTTTTTAAGAGACATTCAATCCTGCAAGATTCCCAGTAATGAAGGGACCACGAGATCCTCACTGCTCTGATGTCCAATTACTATCGCCTCAGAAGGGCTGCAGCTTTCCTTTCCAGTTGGAAATATCTAGCTTCCAGATGCTGGATGTTACAGTGCTGTTTTCCATTATTTTAAGGATGGGGATTAAGGTCTAGTTCTTAACCTTAAAGTGAAGTTGCAGCTCGTAACCTACTGTTATTGCTTTGACAGCCAAAGAATATGCAAGGCCAGGTTGTTCTGGCT